CATACAAAAATGTAACATTGAGGAACTGCAGTTTGTCACATAATCTATCACCCCAAAGTGGCAGATTTCTGTGTTTAGCTTGATACTGTCTTCTGATGTCTGTTTACCTGCTGTAATTGAATGAATCTTTGACTCATTAGCCTGTGATAACCAGTTCAACAGAAGTTCTCACAGCTACTGCAGCTGTTTATGAGCGTATTTTAATCTGGGAGAAACGTGGCAACATAGAGACAAATACATGAGCAAATCAAGACTTTTCATATGCTTTGCATGTGCTTTTAAAAAATCAGGAGAAAAAGATTCTTGCACAGTTCAGCTGAAGGTGGTGAGAATCTTAAATACTGGTGTGGAAAATCTGGCAGACAAGACAAGAGCAGACATGAATGAATAAGCAGTGCATCCTGTTGCATAGGATAACAGCATGTAGAAGATTGGCCTGCCAATAATAATCAAAGATGATGCCCTTAGGAGGAGGAGGTGAGAAAAAACAGGGTGAGGAGAAATTATTGGGTTTTGTTGCCAGTAGAGTGGTGCTGATAGGAAGGTTGGGTTCTACCTTGGGGGTAAAATTAAAGTGTGTTGGAGAACTTAAATGTCTGTTTTTCCCATTGGATTTGTTGTAGTATGCAAGGCATGCATTCATTTTGCATCAAATTCAACAGAATGAGAATGGCATACCTCCTTTCTGCTTCTGTGCAAACTAGCAGGGTCTGTATATGTATGTTTAGAATAGAATAGAACCTCTCCAATTCCTTTTCGGAGATGGAGGAATCTCAGCTCTATATGCATGTGCACGCATTTTACTAAAGCAATAGAGAGGAAAACAAACAAAGGTAAAGGTTGATTTTTAAAGTCATTGTTGAACAAATAAGCTGCTGCTATTCCTAGTGCACAAATTTCAGCAGTTGTTGAAAGTACAGTGAGAATTTCTGAAAGAGGAAAGCAGAGTTAATATGTTTACTGGCAGAATAAAGATTTTCCATAAAGGTTTCAGACAGCTTTGTTTGCTTACTGTAATTTCTTAAAACATATGGCCTTGTATTTAAGGAAAAAAAAAAAAAGCAACATTACCTGGGGGAAGCATCTAAGGAATCACTGCTTCGGAAGCATCATGTCATTTATTTGCCAAGTATTTTTCCCCATTGGCTGATGTATGTTCACTGGCTCTGCAGGTTTGAGTAGACAATTACAGTTTTGCTAAATATATCTATTGTGTTAATTTTCTTAGTCCAGTTGTCGTTAGCTTATCCTTGAAATTGCTTATGAGCTAAAAATAATCATAGCAAACAATCCAATTGTATTAACTTCATGAAGGTATCTTTGTTATCTTTTATGACTAATAAGGAACACTTTCAGGAAAGAACGAATGGCTTCTGTACATGAAATGCTCAAAACTTCCTTAATGTGAAACTTTTCAGACTTAAAAGCTCCCTGCTTCCGTTTATTTCTATCATATATCAATAAAGTCATAACAAAGCTGTTACGGAGCAAAAGGAAGTTATGCTTGCGTTCTGCAAGTGCATATTGTTCTTGACAGTTCCTTTTCTCATTTGATGCTTGAATAATAAGATCAGCAAAAATAATACAATGATTTATCTTGTACCTCTGAAGAGTTTCTGTGGCAGTGAAAGATCATATGTTACACTGCTAAAGCCATCTCAGTAGCGACTGCCTGGTTCTGGCCTTGTTTTGCTGATAAAACTGCCAATTTCGGTAGGTTGTGTGTTAAATAGATTGCTACTATTAGATTGTTACTGGTCTGAGCAAGAGTTGCAAAAAACTGAGTGTATTGAAGCCTCATATCAGATTTCAGGCTTAGCCCTAGTTTGTCTATGGGTGAACTGATGGAGAGGGTTAAACTTCAGTCATGTGTACCTGAGCATGCCATTGAGGCAGTACAGTCTCAGAGCATAACTCATCGGTTAAGTTCCCCTGCAGTCTGTGTTGTGAAGTCTTAATCTGTTGCTGAGTTAATGGGCTCCTTTAATTTGAGTTCTAGCTCAGCTAATATAAATGTATATACTTTTGTTTGAAATCTAATGAAACAGTACTATTCTAGGCAGCTGGTCTGTAGGTGATGACAAGAAGGAAACAAACATATAGTCCTTTTCTGCCTCATTGTTTTTCTTCTATTAATATTGAGGTCCTCCCAAGGCAGTTGTAAAGTGATTGTAACTGGAGTTCTTTTGTTTCATTTGATCAGACCTGTTTTTTTAACTTTAGAGCTACAGCCTCTGTTGTATGGAAGGACTAGAGTTCTGTGTTCAGTGCTTGTTAAAGCATGCTGGGGTACAGTATTCTGATCTATTTCATGCCTTGTGCTGATTCTTTCTGAAGCTTCCATTATCTCAGTCTAATATTAAAGTTATAAAATGGAAAGGGTGTTTCCTATTTTTAAACTGGTTTTGAGCAAGTCCTGAGCTTCTTCAGAAAGATTTAATACTAAAATAGTAAGAAAAGGGTGTGACAAACTGAGGGAGAAAAAGATCCATTTACTGCCAGATTGAGTGATTACTGATATTTTCCCACTTCATTAAAACACTTTGCGACATTTCTATAAGCAGGTCTTTAGAAGAGTAAGTACCTATATGGTGCACCATTCTCATTCATGAGAGTTTGTATCATGCTTCACCGAATTATTACTTTTCATGAGTTTTGGTGGGACACATTAGGCTTCAAAGCCTAAGCTGTTCTTGTTACCTAATCAATCCAGATGATACCTTTATACTCTTACATGAATAGGTTGCATCTCTAAATCCCAGCTTTAATTATGGAACATTAGTCCAGGATGAGTTTGAGGACATACTCAAGTTTATAAATGTGTTTATCCAGACACAGGGTGGAGCTGTGACCGCATCCTGTCACTTTTCGGTGTATTGTACCAGTGGAGGCCTTAAGCCATTCCACTCTCCCTGTGCAGAGATTTATCATAGGCTGGCCACTATGTCTGTTCTCTTCCCTTCCTCTCAGAAGATGCTGCGTGCTACCCAGTTGCCTCATAAACTTCTTCATTTGACTCCAGAATGGGAAATGTCATTGCTGCTCTTATGTAGTGACTAGTGAATGTGCAGACTGGTCACTGTTCCTGGGAACTGTGTAAGGCTATACTCTTTTTGCAAATAGAAGTGCAGGGCTCTTATTATCATTTAGTATGAAATAGCTGCTCTTGAATTTTGCTGTATTTAGATGACTGACTCCGTATTCAGAAGAAAAACTGAGACGGATCCAATTAGTTTGCCCTAGTTCTAAGTTGAAGTCATGCAGAGGTGCTAAGTTTTGTGGCTAAATGTAAGACTACGCCAGGACTCATTTGAGAGGTTTGAAAACCTTTTGATGAACCTGTGGTGAGTGACAAGTTGAAACTTGAAACCCTATTACTTCAGATTTTACATTGAACATCGGTACTTAAAACATGCTGAGAATAAGTTGCTTTGGCTGTACTTTCTGCCTTTGTTAAGAAAATGAACATAAGTACAAATAGTTTTATTTAGAAGAATGCAGTTCCATTTATTTTATGTTTAATAGTTATTTTAAAATTCATTGAAATGAATTTCATGGAGTTCCATTAATTAAAAACCCCAAAACATACAGAAGGCAGAAGATGCTCTAATGTTTCACATAGTTCTAGGGGAGTGGTTTGTATCACAGATGACTTTGCTTTTGGAGTAAGAGTAGTTCCTAGACAATGCTTTCACATCTGTTAATGCAGAAATCGATACCTTGAGCCTGCATATTTCTGAACTGTGAATTTATTTTTTTTTTCATCTAACTGGAAGTATTTAGTACCTTAGTTTGTGTTATGTTTGCAAAATTAGTTTCAATAGCTTTACTAGTTTTATTTGAGAGAATATACCATGCTTGTCTCTCTTCCTAGTTGGATACCTAGGATATACATGAGTAATTTTACAATAGTAAATAGTGAATTGTATTTGTAATCATTGCTTATCTGATGAGTTTAGTGTCTGTTATGCAAACCCGCCCCCCTCTCATCTCTGGAGACACAGAAAGGAAATAAAACAATTTAAAATCCTTTTTATGCTCTTTACATAGCATTTGGGAAATAAGATACTCGAATAGCTGGATTTGAATTATAGTATTTACGTTAGTTTGAAGTACAGTATGCCACATATGACTAGAATTTGTGTTCCTAGGTCCTTTGATACAAGTGTGACTTCAGTTATGACTGGGTTTAGTCTTGTGGGTCATAGGACATTCTCCTTGCGTACCACCACTCAGTTGTAGAGCTAGGCTGATACTAACAGTAAAAGCTTGAAGACAGCTAAAAATATGCTTTTCATGTTCTAGTAATTTTACCTAGCTACCTACGTCTTTACATTTTGTTTGCTTCCTAGAGCAGAAACCTTTGTGTGTGTGCATGTTTTGTTGTTTTTTTTTTTTTCTTTACAAACTACCAGTATAATGATTGCTGTCAATGTTCAGGTGTGATAGTTTTGATTCATTAGCAATCTGCCAATTGCTGCTTATGCCTGCCTTGATAGTGAGCTTTAAGAGTTTTTCTTGATCCTCTTATTCACTTGTACGCAGTGTACTGCATAGTAGAACATGGAGTATTCCAGGTCCCAAGATTTACCAATTTATTGGAGACTGAATTTAGAGAAAGCGGAATAACAGACTGTAGCTGATTGATTTAGAACTTATGTTTGAAGCTAGGAATGAGGCTGGAGTAAGAAATGTTTTGAAGATATTTTAAAGGGTTATTAGAAGGTACCTTTTTTATGGGTAGTTGGGAGCATGTCCCTTCCCAGAATTCTAGTTTGGTTGACATCTGTGTATTGGCAGAGATCCTCTAATGTAGCTCTTCCTTTAAGAGTGGAGTGCTAACACACAGAAGAAAAGATGGACTCAAGTGTACTGAGAGATGCTTTATTTACCTATCTTGAATTTCTTTTGATATGAATTTCTTTGTTTTATGGAGATTCGTGTACTTTTGCTTAGTCATTCATGTCTACTTTTTCTTTACTGTTTCTTCTAGGATAAGTTGGATATCTGACATTATTGTGGTTGTCTCTCCTGAAAATATTGAAATAATGAAGTCTATCATTGAAAAATATGGACACAAAAGAGTTACAATAGTAAAAGGTGGAATAACTCGTCACCGGTCAATTTTCAATGGACTGAAAGTGTTTGCAGAGAATGAATTTTCCAGTCATCTGCTCCAGAAACCAGAAGTAGTGATTATCCATGATGCTGTGAGGCCATTTATTGAAGAAGATATTCTTTCAGAAGTGGTCATGGCTGCTAAAGAACATGGGGTACGTACTATACAGCAATACAACTCTGCGTGTTCTTTATAGTGTACAGTGAAAAATCATGATTGATAAATAAGGATTTTTGTAGCAATTTTATTAATGAATTATGTTGATTTCTAAGTAGAACAGATTCAGAATCTATTACGCAGAGAAGTCAGATGGGGGAGGAAGACATTTTTAAATGCTCCAGGCATTACTTGCTATGGGGAATAATTATTGCCATAGAGACTACCAGTGAGAGATTGAATTAATCAGCAATTTGTTAGTTGAAAGGTAGATTACATAAGAATAGTTTACATTTTTTCCAGGCAGATTTGTCACCTAATACTAGAGTAGTTCAGTTAGTATTTAGTAATAATGAACAAAGAGAGTACTGTATTGGTTGACTTTGTGTGTTTTCAACTTTATATGTGAATCTCAAATAAGTGGCAAGAGAGCTATCTCTGTCTTAATGCTAAATTTTTCTAGAATCTGTAAGTGTTGCAAACTGCTGAGAAAAAGGGAAAGTGGGAAGCCTCCAACTGTATGTTGGAGATCCTCCTAAAAGAGATCACTGCATGAGGACTGGGAGTATCTACAGGAACCGGGAAGATTTCTGGGAAAGTAAGTGATATGCGCAGGGGAAGAGTTTGGTAGAAGTTGTGTTATGCAAGTAGAAAGGTAGAGTTATGAAAGGCATGCACTAACTACAAGAGGAACTGGTGAGTAAACTGGCTGATTAAGAGAGACGTAAGAAATCGTGACTTAGCCACAGGCTTGTTTGTACATTTTGCTATCTTTACCTTGTACTTCAGTTCTTCATTAATAAGACACTAGAATGCTTCCCTACTTCAAGGAGACGATTTGAGGTAGAAGTCATTAGTGACAGAAGATTGTTTGGGTGTTAGCAAGCTAGGAAAATCTACCACTGCTTGTCTCTTTTTGTCAGGAAATGAGGTAAAAGATAAGCTAATTGACAGATGATTTGCAAAGAATGAATTGTGGTATTTCCTTAGCACTCCACCTTTTCTTTGAAAGCTCATGGCATAGAAGGGGAATGTATGACTTGTTAAAATGTTTATTATGAAAATTATGTAAGGTCCCTCAGAACATTATGTTAGAAGTCTAGATATATTGAGCTTCTTACTAGTAGGCCTGTACTTTTGTAGATTGGCTTAATATTGAAATGGCAATAAATAGAAACTCTGCTCTGTAGTTTTCAGTGGTACAGAGCATAAGTTTCCAGTCATTAAAACTTGAATTCCTTTAAAATTTTAACAAGGTTTTTGACCTTTCTCAAATAGCACAAAATAGCATCCCAGAATTGATTCTCTGCCAAAGACTTTTAGAACAGATCCGCTTTGTAAATCTGTTCTAAATGTGATTCTTTGAGAGCAGTAGAAGAATGGGGTTAATTGTACTGATATTGAATTGAAATGAGAAAAACACAAACACATTCAGAAAAGAGTTAAGGTATCTTTGCATGTTATGGTATATCATAGCACATTTTGTCTTTGTGTTCAAGTTTTTTTGTTCACTTCTTCGTGAAACTTGCGTGATTTTAATGTAATATTTTTTTCCTGGTTTTCTTCTTAATGGTGTGTAAGACATTTTCAGAAAATAGTAGGGAACCAAGGCAATCTCCACTGACCTTCTCAAGGCAGCGTACTCTAGTTCTAGAGGTTCTGAACTCCTAACTGGTAAACATTTCCTTACCTAGATCACTGAAGTATCTCATTTGGTCTCAGAAAGGTGATCTTACACATTTGGCATAGTCTTTTCCATTTATAGTCTGTCTGAAATGTGCGTGATATTTACTGGCTCTGCGATGACTCTCCGTGTTGGCTTAGGTCCATGGAATTCAATGAGACTAGGCTGTCAAGAGAACTGGACTCCAAGAGTTGTTAGCTATCGATGTTACCTGACAAAGTAGTTGAATAAAGGAACATGAGAAGAACTTAATTTTATGTAACAAATCGGAGAAGCTTCCTGCCAGAGAGAGGTAGCTGTCTTCACCTGACAGCTACAGAATTCTGAAGAACTAAATGACTGGAAAGCTAAGGCTTTCTCAAAAGTGACATGCATGGTTTTGAAAAAAATTGATCAAGAGGATCTTTAGTTCTTCCTGTAGTCAAATTCTTTGCATATCTAAAGGGGAGTCAGTTCTTCAATCTTTCAGTACAGAAAGTAATTACTTCCTTTTGCATTATGTAGAAAGGTACAAAACCTGGCAGAAACATCATATTAAATCACTAGTGTAATAGGGGTGATGCTGTATTGTTGTTCATCTGCATACCATATAGATAGCATAATTATGAGAAGCTTTAATGTTCTTTAAAATGGCAATTGATCAAGTAAGTTATTGCACTTCTAGCTGCCAATCATCAGACAAATAAACTGCTTTATTACACTTACTAATCAGTTTGTTATTTGCCTGTGGGAATTAAAATGTGTACCTTATCCAGAACTAATAAATTATGCCTTAAATCCCCCAAACAATCCCTTGATTATTTGAAAATATTACTTTGTAACCAATTAAATTCCATTTATGTTTTTTGGGTAATTTTGTAATTAAAATTACATGTTTCTCAAAACAAATTCTTTATTGCTAGTAAAAGTTAGGAAGAGTGGAAGCTTCAGAAGGCATCAGTCCAAAGCCTCTAGCAATATCTCTTTGCCAACATTGCATTTTAAACAACATAACTAAAAAGGAAAAAGCATGCAAGAAAAAATCAGGAAGGGGGGGGGAAACTTGTCACTTCTTCTTTTGAGAGTTTAAAAAGGCATATACAGTCAAAGACTTTCTGTAGCTAACATAAACTAGATTTGAAGGTATAGTTTATTTCTTTGAAAGGACTGAATCAAAACAGCATTCTTCATTCTTAAAAGCTGGTTTCTGGAAACTGTCTAACATTATTACTTTATTATCAGCTTTAGCAAGAATCTGAACAAAGCATACATCCCAGTACAGATGTACAGTACTACTGGGTCGCATGGATTCTTATGCACACACACAATCAGTCAAAATAATACCCCCCAGACAGCAAGCATGAATTGTAGGGGTGTTACATAGCAACTTTAGAGGAAAATATTTTAAGAGCTACATGCTCTTAGCTGTGATAAGGCACATGGAGGACAGAGAGATAATTTAGGCCATCCAGTGTTATGAAGTGGCTTCACCAAGGGCGAGTGCTGCCTGACCAACCTAGTGGTGTTCTCTGATGGGCTGTTTTGCTAGATGGGAAGAGCTACAGGTGTTGTCTATCTGGACTTCTATAAGGCCTTTGACACAGTACTGCACAACACCCTTCTCTCTAAATTGGAAAGATACAGTTAATTGCTGAATGTCCAGATGGAGATCAGTGACAAGTGGTGACCCCAGGGGTCTGACCTGGGACCAGTGCTGTTTAGTATCTTCGTCAACGACATAGTGGGATAGAGTGTACGCTCGGCAAGTTTGCAGATGACATCAAGCTGAGTGGTGTGGCTGACACACCTGAGGGATGGTATGTCATCTAGAAGGACCTGGACAAGCAGGGTCCTGCACCTGGGCTGGGACAACACCTGGTGTCAATACAGGCTGGGGAAGAAGGGATTGAGAGCAGCCTCATGGAGAGAGAGAGGCCTGGGGATACTGATGAATGAAAAGCTGGCAGTGTGTGCTTGCAGCCCTAAAAGGCCAGTCATCTTAGGCTGCATCGAAACTAGCATGGCCAGCAGGTCAGGGGAGGTGATTCTGCCCCCTCGACTCTCTTCTCTGGTGAGACCCTATCTGGAGTACTGTGTCCAGCTCTGGAGTCCTCAGTACAGGAAAGGTATGAACCTGTTGGTGTGGGTCTGGAGGAGGGACACAAATGGTCAGAGGGCTGGAACACTGCCTCTGTGAAGACAGGCTGAAAGAGTTGAGTTTGTTCAGCCTGGAGAAGAAAAGGCCTTTCAATATATCAAGGTGTCTTGTAAGAAGGATGCGGACGGGCTTTTAAGCATGGCCTGTTGTGGTAGGACAAGAGTTAATAGTTTTAATCTAAAAGAGGGCAAATTTACACTAGATTTAATCAATAATTTTGTTTTATTTTGTTTATGATGAGGATGGTGAAACACTGGGAAGGGTTGTCCAGAGATGTGGTAGATGCCTGGTCACTGGAAGCATTCAAGGTTGGATGGGGCTCTGAGCAACCTGATGCAATTGATGATGTCCCTGCTCCTTTCATGGGGGGGTTGGACTAAGTGGCTTTTAAAGGTCCTTTCCAACCCAAACCATCCTAAGATTTGACATTACTGTGAAGATCAGAATTGCTTTAGTAGCCATGAAACTTCTTTGCATGTGTGAAGAAACCAAGTGTGGTTTTGCTGCTGTACGGAAGAGTTACAGAATGCATTACTCCTTTTTCAACTCTGTAATAATGGATAACTGTAAGAAACATACTGATGTTTCCATTGCTTATGGCGTTATTCTTCCCATGGAATATTATAATCTTCTTAACCAAGTTGTTATTTTCTGTGTTGAATGGAGGACTGATGTATCGTTAGCAAATACTTGCAGTCTTTGTCCTAACAACATGTAGTGTTTGGTGGTGGTAAATTACTGGTAAAGAGAGAAATAGCTCTGTCATTTCCCAGTCCCCATTTAAGTGATTTAGATGATTCACTGCATTCATTCAGGAGGATGCAACTTAGAGAACTTGAAATACATAAATCATAGACAGAAACTTAAATTATAATCTCCCTTTCTTCTTTGCACCATTTCCGTGTTGTACTAACAGAGCCAGCTGGGCCTAATACAACTAGTACTTAATCCTTTTTAAAAAGGTGATTTAATCCCACATTTTTTAGCTTCTGGAAGTCTACACATACAATATTTTTAACCTTTTTTTAGGTAGGATTAGGTTATCCTGGAAATAAATTTTCAGCGTAGCTTCCTGTACTTAAGTGGTTGCTGAGGTCATTTGTATGTAATGTCTGTAAAATGTACCTCCTTTAAATTTAGAGAAATGACATGTATCACATTGCTGTTGATTTGAGGC